CCTCGTACATCATGCCAGGAGATAGAGATAATTTTCAACTTGTCATAGACATACGAGAGGGGATAAAATTTAGAGGAAGGAGAACACATATTCTATTGCTACCGAAGACTTTTCCAGTTGTTAAGGCATCAGCAATTTCCACTAGTTCGTATCCAGCCTCTTGGTACAAATATTTAGGGAATGTGTCCACTTAATTTCAGTTTATTTGAGGTAAATGTAGGTATGCACCTTTGGACTCCCTATGTAGAAAAGCAAATTTTCTGGGCCTGCGAAGTAAACGGACTAATTAACTACTGCAAGGTACTTCAACTTGAGGCACCATTATGATTAGGCAATAAGTGGATCGCAATCCTCCCAAAATACAAGGGACTTGAACTAATCATTTCGGACTTATAAGTGGTCGTCAGTTGGCCATATCCCGACTTCCGTTCTGCCTTGAATCTTCGAGACCTCAGGCGCTAGGATGCGAGTTCGCAGCGCAATTATAGAGCTCCACAAATGCCCAGCCAACATGTTAGCATGTGGTTGACTAACAGCCATAAACAGTGAGTTCGTTTTTTTATTCCCCTTGTCGGCATAGTTGCCTGATAAGTGATTAGTCATCACTATCTGGCCGCCTGCGAGAGATCCAAACTGGAGGTTTGAAGTGAACAGTGCTCACTCATAATCGGTCGGCCTCCAATCAAAACGCAGTGCTGAACGTCACTCCCCTGGGAGAATGAGACGCGATCCCACGGCGCTGTACCGGCTGTGTATATTTGGAGAGCTAAAATTATCCATTATGTGCACGTGCACGAACACAGAGTTCACATGAAAAAGACAAAACAGAACAAAATGCGACTTCATTCGCAAGTTAAAATTTAACACCCTCCGTCCCCTCCCCCCCCCCGCAAAATGGCGGCATTCTTTGAAGCTCACGCCAGGCCACCTGCCCGTCCGCCACCCGAACTGTTTAGGCTGCATGGGCGTACCGTAATGTTGAGCCGAGACCGAGGCAACTCATCCAGCGGTCGCGCAGATATTACCTTAGTGCGCGGAGTGGGACGCCAGCTCTGACCTCGCTACTATCAGGCCTGCTCCAAAATACACGACATTTTATTTAAACTAGAGCAGGGACGCCTTTTTGCGTCGGGCACATGACGCGAATACGACTATTCACACTACGAAGCATGGCCTGGGCGCCCTGTCAAGCTGTCTAGGGGGGTGTGACAAAACTGTGTGTGCGTTTGTGTGCTTTACCCGGAGATGCAAGGGCAGTACCAGTGGAGTTCAAAGACGAATCAAATGTCAGCGAACTCGAGGGATGACGGAAGGCTTTTCTCGACCCTTGAAGTAGATAAAAGTCTACTTTAAGCCAAGACAGAAGGGGGCGCGGGGGGGGTTATTTAATCCGCTCTTCCTAAAAGTAAGGGGAGATAGGTTCTGCTGGTGCCCGCAGTACCAGTCCTTTAATTACTAGCGGCTGAAAGGCAGTGGCTGTCGTGACCGCATTTCAATCCTTCTGGCTTTATCTGGCGACAGAAAGCCTGATTACAGTGGTTAGGTATACAAAGAACATTCGTAATAACATGCCTGGGGCTTCTTCCCAATGTAGTTTTTTTGGGGGGAGGGGAGGGGGG